CCACGTGCCGGTAGTCAATATCGGAGGCCTGCACTCGCGCTTTCCTTCGAGTAAATTATAGCCACTATGGAAACATTTGCAAGTTTGGGACGTGTACCACATGCGGATTAGTCCGCACTTGTCATCGCATTTCGGCCAGCAGAAATCATGGCATGTGCCTCGTCGACGCCGGTGCGCATGCGCTGACTACACCTTCTCGGAAAAAAGTTCTATTAAAAGGGCGGGACACAGCCCTTCCTTCCCATAATCATCCGCCATTGTTTAAAGTGCAGGGTTAGTGCCATATGCAGGCTCTTGGTTGAGGACCCCTTGATTCCAAGAACTGTTTATTGCCCAACTTAATCCGAGGAAAGCAGCGAACCGAAAGCATGTCGTTGTGAGAGCCACGTCATCACTTCATCTTCACTTTCGCGTGATTTGCGAAGCTTGCTTTTCTTCGGAGGAAGGGACAGGAAGTGATCAGCTGCGGAAAAACTGTGCACGTTCATTCTTATTGCAACCCGCCACTTTCATTACGAGAACACCCCTATCTCGTCCCCGTATATTTCCATTTGTTCTACTGGCCAGATCTTCGCAAACCTCATCTGGTCAACTACTGATTAATTAATTCGACCACTGTTGGCATAGACGTGTCCTGAGGAAGGTACAAAGAGAGGCTAATGTGATAATAGGCATTGCTTGATCATGATCTCTTGTGCCCTGATGGCATTGTATTCATGCACCGCCCAGTTTAGCCTATATATATATATACATATATATAAATATATATATAAATAAATATATATATATATATATATATATATATATATATATATATATATATATATATATATATATATATATATATATATATATATATATATATATATATATATATATATATATATATATATATATATATAATGGAGAGAAGTGTATACCTAAGAGCTCGTATTACCGTGTTTTAACACAATATTAATGAGATATAACAGACAGTAATGCCAAGGAATGTACAGGGGAAGTTATTAGAACCAATGGAATGTAAATAAGAAGAAAGAAGAAAGAAAAGTGGATGAAAAAATTACCAGCTGTGAGCAGGAATCGAACCTACGACCTTCGAATAACGCGTTCGATGCTATAATAACACGTTATATATATATATATATATATATATATATATATATATATATATATATATATATATATATATATATATATATATATATATATATTGTGGGGGTGCTGACACCCCCCCCCCCTGTAAAGTATGTATGTGATGTGCTTTGTTCCGACCGTGTTCACTGTGTCCGTCACTCCAAGAGCGTGGCGTGGCGGTGCGCGCGTTCGCCTCGCCGAGACCCCACACTGGCTGCCCAACGTGGAGCTCTTGGAGTGTCGGACGACAGTTCTTGCGGTTCGGTACAGGGATTTTGTTAGAGCCGGAGTAGAGTAGGCCTAGGGGGGACTTCTTTGCTAGCGTCGGTGGTGTGCTTTGTTGAGAAGCGAGGGGATTGGTTTTGTAACGTGTTTGAATTTGTCGGCAGGTTGACTTTTTTTTTTTTTGCTCGCAAGTGTTCTTATTTTTTGTTGTTAGTTTTCAAAAACGTTGTTGAATTAGGACGAGAGCCATGCGGTCCGCATCCTGGGGTGAGCAAGGCCTAGAGCACGTGGTTTGTAGGCCAGGCCCGAAGCGAGTGAGTACGGAAGCCTCGTGGGTGGTCCGATTTTCTGTAAATAGCTTCTTCTATCTCTTTGGGCTCAGGGAGCCAGGCGTCGTTGCTGACTTGTATTGCGGCTCGACGCCGGGGCGTCGTGACACCGCCCGGGGCGGTGGACGCCGATCGCTCGGTAAGCTGCTGTGTGCGGCGAGCGATAGGGCCACCTCACAGAGTGGACGTCTCCTCGCGGCTGCCTCTTCTGCGCCTAGGCTGGGTGCTGGGTGGATGCCGGTTGTTGCCGAGCGACTCATTAGGCCTAAGGCTCTGCGCAGCCGCCTGTCGCACGTGGCACAACTAGGTGGATCGTAGCGTTGAGGTGTTGCGCTCTGCTTCCCTCACTTTTTTTTCCTTGTGAGCACGAGTTAGGAAAAGTGATTTTTGTGTTTTTATTTTGATGGGCGTCTCGGCCGCCACCGATGTATTAGCTAGCAGTACTAACCACCGTACCACGTGGCTGAAAAGCCTGAAGCTTCCTCCCCTGGGCCGCGCTCCTTTGTTTCTTTCGAGTTTTGTTTTTTGTTGATGTATTCAGCGGGAGGGATGTCATCCACGGCCGGCTGTCCTGCGCATCGTCAGCGTCGCTGGCCAGGAATGCGGTCGTGAGTTCGGGCGATGAAGATGCCTGGGACCTGCGCAACTGCCTGCAGTCCGGCGCCCTCGTGAGTGCTGGTCGCAACTGGAAGACGTGTCGGCGCTAGCGACGGATCGTCGCGCCGACGGCAACGTTGCTGTTGCGGGGCCGGTACTGAGGTGAAGTCTAGCCGGAGAGTGCAGCAGTGTCGACCAGCGGCGGTGTCGTGGTGCAAGGACATTATGGTCGTGCGATATCATTTTTTTGTTAAAGCTTGTGTAGCTAATTTCTGATTTCGGGATATGGTTTAATTTAAGGTTGGGGGAATGTGGGGGTGCTGACACCCCCCCCTGTAAAGTTGCCTGCGCCGCGTGGCGCACGTGTCTCGCCCCAGGGCTTTATTTCGGTGGTGACCACCACCGGGCGATAGATGGCGTTGTGTTCGCTCTGAGTACCACTGTTGGTAGAGTGGCAGCGCCGGTGGTGGCCCCTGGCGGAAGGCGGGCCTTGGTGGTGGGCGAGCGTTGAGCGAGCCTCTTCTGCGCGTGGCGGCTGCCGCGAACGGTTGTCTGTAGCGCGGGTCCCCGGTGCTCGGCACCGCGGGCTTCGCGCCGGGGTCCCACGTGGAAAGTCAGGCGTTGGCGACGCCGCCTTGGGTATGTGCTAGTGTGTTGGGTGTTAGTGTGTGTTTATCATGTTATTGTGTGTTTAGTGTTTCACTGTGTTATGTTGTTTGTATGGTAGCATGTTAATTGAAATTGTTGTATCATTCGGCGGACGATCTCGTCGTTTAAATTAGTTAATAAATGTATGTATGTTGTGTGCTTTGTTCCGACCGTGTTCACTGTGTCCGTTCACTCCAAGAGCGTGGCGTGGCGGTGCGCGCGTTCGCCTCGCCGAGACCCCACAATATATATATATATATATATATATATATATATATATATATATATATATATATATATATATATATATATATATATATATATATATATATATATATATATATATATATATATATATATATATATATATATATATATATGTTGTATATTAACCATGTTTTTTTTTCTGCAACATAATCTAGTTGCGAGTGCAGCGATGTCTCTTTCGATCCTTTTGTGCTTGTCTCCGTGTGCTTCTTCATAAGTAAACGTGAACTATCACCAACTCGTCCAACTTTCTTTGTTGTTACTCAACATCCTATATACGACTCTGACCTTGTAAAGCCCGTCAGCATTTTCAGGTTTCCTTAAGAAGAACCCAAACGTGGCTTCACTCTGAAAATACATTTATTTAGACATCTGCTATTCTCTCTCGGAAGCTAGAAAACAAACTGAAGCGCACGACGGCTGCACCACAGTCCGCTATTTAGCTGGCATAGTTATTTATTCATTAGAGCGACAAAACGGGTATCTGGATTACGTCCAGTAGTTGTTTGCCTCTGGACATGCCCCATACCCAAAGGAAGGGAAGGGCGGTGTATAAGGTGAGTTTTCCCACTACTTTCCGTATTGCTTCATTCCTAGGAGCACTATAGTTAGTCAATTATTATTTGAAGTGCTAATTACAAGTTTGAAAATATGTACCGTCCATACAATTTAGCAAGAGAATTGTTTAGTCGCAGTGATATATTCCTGAACGCAAATAAAACATCCCTGTGACTGTACCCCACTGTAGAGGCTCCAAAAGAAAGAAGAACAGGTTGTGATAATTTTGGTATAGATATTAAAAACGGTAAAGGCCTCGCTAAATTACACAATCAAGCACGTTAAAGAACCACAGGCAATCGAAATTTCGGGAGCCCTTCTCTACGTCGTCTCTCATAACTATATGGTGCTTTTGGGACGTTAAACTTCACATATCAATCAATAAAATTGCATAATCAAATCTTGGCCGATCCCCCTGAGTGGCTATGAGTGATGTCTGTGGATTCATCATCATCGTGAATTACAGACCCAGTTTTAAAGGAGGTACGTGGTGCTAGTATGTTTTCCCTGAATAAATTCGATCAACGACAAGATTATAAAATATGGCCAGTCCTTTCCTACTGATTAGAGTAAATGCAAATAGGAAAAGTCAATAAACCTGATCTATGGAAGTAAAAATTGAGGGCGACGTGGCAACGAAATCTTGTGGTGGAAACTTCCATCATCCCTAATTGAGACAGGTCGCTGTGCCAAGAAAATAAAAAGTGGTTGCACTCTGGAGAAGCAGCCAGTACGTGGTTTGATTAACTTTGCCTGGATTTAAGCGCACCAACGCGCACGAGAAACAGGAGCACACTTACGCATTTGTTTTGTATTTCAAACTCCCGCGGCTTGTAAGCGCGGCAAATCACGCGATTTCAACTGTATTATATTGCTGTTGTTTCCACAGATCATCTTAATTTGCTGCTTTCTCTCTCTCTCCTCTCTCTCTCCCTCTCTCTTCAGAGCAGCCCCTTTTTCACCAGTGCCAAAGCAAGAGCCCGGACCCGGGGTGCAATGAACACATGAATGCATTGCGCGTACCTGGATGACTGGATGAGCCGGTGGAGTGGCGTCATCACAGTTATGATTTATTGTGTTTATTGTTAATCATTAAAAATAATATTATGCTGCATTTGCTAAGTATTTTAGTTCCTTGTTTTGTTATTGTTCAGCCAATACGCTTTTTATAAGCAACCTTGCTTTTCACCACTGCAATAGCTGCAGTGTCCTTGCGCTAGGGTGCGCTAGTGACGCTGTTGCGCTGAGGGACGATAGAAACCGTAGAGGACGCTGAGGAAAAGCGCGTCTTGAGTAGGGGGGAGTTGGCACTGGAGTGCTTTTGCGCTGCTGTTTCGAGCCAGTGAGCGGCCGGCAATTTGGCTAATTGTTTCAACGGACAGCCGCCCTCGTCTACTGGAAAACATCATTTCAACCTCCTAGGAGATGCCCACGCATAAGGTTTCCATCGTCGGCTCCGGAAATTGGTAACAATCCAGCTGGTTTACTATTTATAGTTTTCATTGTCGCGAAAATAGGGGTGATCTATGAATTGCCCTTAGAAGTTCTAACATTGCTCTCCCCTTCGTACTGCATATGCGTTACTGTGCCGGCGCCAGCCCTCGTTAATGATGTGGCGCAACGCAGTGTTTTGTGTCTGCGTCAGCTGCCCGGACGGCGTGTTTTTGCCGCGGGTAATTTGACCTTGCGCTGAGATGCGCTTTGGCTCAGCCTCATGCGCGCTGCGAGAGACTTTCACAGCGCACCCTTAGCAGCGAGGGCACAGGCTCCGTGTTTTGACGGGAATCGGTAGTGTTGCGTTACTTCGTCGTCTTTTCGTGCGCCACTTCGCTGGCAACGCCATACAAATCAGTTCAGAACCACGATCGTCCCCTACATTAGCGGCGCCTCGTTAGCGCTGCCCCTTTACAAGGACATTTCGAGACACGTGAGATTTGCGCGATTGTGTATTTCTTTTCCTGTTTCCCGCCTACGGTCTCGCTGTGTCGGTGCGTAGGCTCGCCTTCCTTGAGAGCCTGCTTATCTTTGGAACATTAGTTTCGTGTTTATCGCGGGGGGCACCGGCCTAAGGCCATGACTCGTCTAATCTGCACATATGCACGCGCAGAAAGAGCTAAAACTAGACTCGTTATCAAGATCGGCGAGTCGTGACTTTCTAAAGGCCCCGATGTACGTGTGGGAGCATTGATCTCTGCCCTTCGTTACGGCCTTCTAACGAAAACCGGCTCGTTTCCAACTCGCGCAAGCTTTTGCTGACTTCTGATTTTTTTTTTTTTGCCTTCTTTCACATCACACGTGCTGCATTTCTTTGATGGCCCTTTCAGCGTAGGAGACGTTTTACTGTAGATTCGTTTTCGGTTAGTCATTGTTAATTGTGCCTTGTCTCATGATCTTTCACTGCAGTCCAAAGCTTGGTAATTTCATCGTATGTGAAACTTCTTTCGTCTTTCACGCTACAGTCTGTTTTTTTTTTTTTTTTTTTGAAAGTGTGTTGCTTTCTTACTGACAAACATAGTCAAGAAATTTGTGATAGTTCCTCTTAACTTACAGGTGGTGTGCACTTGCTTTAACCATGCTAGTTCGCTGCCCAGAAAAATAAGCCACAGCTTTGTGTACCACAATACACCTGTTCGTTTGTTACGACCATTAACAGTATACTGACAGAAGTTCGTGTATCTCTTTGCAGGGGTTCTGCAATAGCTCGCATAATTGGGCTCAACGTGCTCAAGTTCGACTCCTTCGACAACAATGTTAGAATGTACGTTTACGAGGAGATTGTCGATGGAAAGAAACTCACTGAGATAATCAATACCCAGCACGAGAACATCAAGTACCTTCCAGGCTACAAGATCCCTGAGAATGTTGTGAGTCTAGCCTTTTCATTATTGTGCAGTGAATGCTTTGCTAACATTACTTAACAATATGTAATGCTATATAAAATGTGTTTATGTATTGTAGGTGGGACATTTAGGTAGAATTGATATCAATAATTGTTTAAGTTCTATGTCACCAAAGCAATGATATGATTATGGGGGATGCTATAGTGGGCGACAGAAATTTCGAACAATCTGGTGTTATTTAATCTGTACCTACATCTAGATGCCCTGGCCTCAAACATTTCGCCTTCATTTAAATGAGGCCATGGTGCCCGGGATTTAGTTCTGTGACCTTTGGGTAAGCAGTCGATCAACATTTTGTAGACCTTTAAAGTCAACAGATTTTTAGAGTACTGCACTGTAATTACGTAAGAATGATACCTCGCTGTGCAACCAAATATTCTCCACTATAGAGACATTGCGAAACAGTGAGCACCCACTAGCATGCCCCTTCAAAGCACCTCCAACCTCTCGAAGCCTCTCGTTCCCTGACTGCTTTTTCTATCGCTAAGAACTTTTGCCTCTCCTCGTCGTTACGAAACTTTGGCAGTGCCACAAAAGGTTTTCAGTACTCACTGCAGTAATATCGTGCCTGCTTTCAAAACCTCCGTATACATACAGTTGAGAAAGGGGAAATGAAGGAAAGGATTAGTGCTGAATGGAAAAGGTAGTCTGCCTGCTAGGCTGTCGTTGACTTTTTAGATGTGAAAAACAAGCTTGCCCATGCATGTGCAGTAACTACTTTGGAAATGGTCAATTTGCAGTCTACATAGTCACTCCCGGTACAGCGACGTGCAGTGAAGTGCTTGGGGTCTGAACCTAATGTCAAGGCAAAACTACATTTGACATCTATACGGGATATTTCATCATTTGGAGAATAACATCACTTCATTGGGATGAGAGTCAAAGTGCTATCGAAAAAGAAAAAAAAAACTAAGTTGCAAAGGGCAAGCTAGTTGCTATCGTGATGCCAAAAGCACAAGATTGTTCACCACTGTTCTGGGCAGCTGTAACTGCTGACACGTCTACATGCTTATAGAAAGGAGTGGTCTTTTGAAATAAAGTCAGTTGCAAGTTGATGCTCTGTCCTCTCCATTTCCTTTTTTTCATCTATGTGGGTTGCATCCTTCACTCTCCTTTGGTAGTTCAAATGGCAAACTAGTGTTCCATTCTGTAGATTGAATGTAATTTGTCCTAATTGTAAACTACAGCCTTGATGAGTATGCTTTCTAAAGTATATTGCAATGGCTGCAAGCACAAATGCTATTGTAAATGTTCACTGAAAATATACATTTCTGCAAGTTTAGTGGGACAGGATCGTTTTGCCCCCAGGTGAATAAAACTAACTATGAATTAGAGGGAGCAGAGACAGTTTATTAATACTTTTATGGTATGCAAAAAAATTGCAATTTCGTTCAATGTCTATTTTTGTAGAACATACAATTTTGATGGCTGAAGCTTTAAAAGAGTGTGAAATTTTTTTTTATAATGGCTATCAACAACTCAGCTGCATTACTCAATCTTTCACGGTAACCATTGGTAACAAAAGTTGGCAGCTGAAGTATAATGCATTGTCAAATAAGCATATCCTTGTGCATGTAAGTTTTTGCTGGTTGATAAAGTAAATTGAGCCTTGCAGAAGTTAGTTCAATATTCTGGTTGTTTTCATTTTTCGAATGTAAATTTATGAGCAATTGCTAATATGGCATACATACAAGCAATGCATGGTTTCAAAAACAGGCAGCTATAGTGTGCTCGTACAGGCAATTTTACGAAGTTTGCCACCTTTCTTGAGAGCACACATGTCAAAGTACAGCAAAACTATTGGATAATTATCAGATATTGTGTTGCCTTGCCAGTAATGTAATGTATTGACTGTCGTTCTGCAGGTTGCCGTTCCTGACATAGTAGCAGCTTGTGATGGCTCAGACATTCTGATCTTTGTCCTGCCGCACAAGTTCATTGTTCCTACATGCAAGCCTCTGATTGGAAAGATCAAGGCCGGCGCAATTGGACTGTCATTGATCAAAGTGAGCCACCTTCTCTGTTTTACTTCCTTCATGCCTCTTGTGCGAGTAAGTGAAATTACAGTATGAAAGCTGCACAGTGAATGGGGTGCTTTAAAATCTAACCAAGTGTAATAACATAATTTTAAGAGGACTCAAGAGAAATACTGTTTGGGCTGGTCTAGTAAATTATTTTTCTACTTTGCTAGAAAAAGATACTGTTACTGTGAGAAAGGGCTAGAAAAGCCTTAACTCGTGAAAAATCTGAATAAGAATGGCAAAGCTACGTTGGAATTCCAACACAAGCTCCCCATAATGTAGATTTTGATGGCATCTCCTCAGTCTATTATTTTGCCAGTCAAGATTGACTCCATTGTGCTTCGATATAGTCAAAAACCGAACATGGCAAGTTTCAACTTCACTTATTTACAACTATTGAAACATAGAAATATACTTTGCAACTCACGACGTCACACTGGAGTATCGGCACTGGTGTTTTCGTGTAAAACGACCCATGGCCACTTTGTCCTTCCTTTTATTTTCTCACAGTCCGCAAAATCGCTGAAAGAGTGGTTCTCAACAAATACTTTATCACTCTAAACTCATCAGTCATGCAGCTAGCATTGTTTTTTTTGGCAAGGTCGTTCCAGCACTTGTGCTATTTTTTCACTTTTCTAAAAAATGTTGAATATAGCTTTTTTTTTTATTCATCCTTTTCCGCACTCCCTTTTTTGTCCCAGGGTTTTGACATCGCACCTGGTGGAGGCATTGAACTGATATCTAATGTCATCAAGAAGCTGCTCAATATCGAAGTGTGTGTTCTCATGGGAGCTAATCTGGCCAAGGAAGTTGTCGACGAGAAGTTCTGCGAGACTACGATCGGTGAGCGTCAGTGTGCGCAGTTGGTATAGCACATTGACAGCCATGCTTGTAGACCCTGTGCATGTCCAACTGGAAACTAGCTCCCACAGCGTGTGAGTAGGGTAGGGTAGAGGCGCTTGGCATGTCAGCTTCTTTTCTAATACTTAGTTATGGTAGTGCCAGGAAATAGCACTGCCAAGGAAAAGGCAGTGTACAAACAAAGGCCATACATGAATAAACGTACTATTTCTCGTTTTTTGCACACTCGTTGAGCCATTTATGCACTGATCCTTAACCTTCGTTTTTCATTTCCTTAAAACAAGGAGCAGCTACTATTAGCTTCAATATCGTACTTTACAGCGTAAACTGTTTAGCTTTGAATATTTTGTAAATAGCCATGCTACGCTTGGCACACATGTGATTTAGAAGGCCTAAGAATGGCATAATTACTTTTAGTGAAGTAGATGAATTGAGGCTTTATGCCGTACATATATGTTAGTGGATGCGTAATGCATGGAAGAGGAAGTTACGCTAGCCTGAATGTAGGTGTGCCTGTTGACACACGCATAACAAACCTGTAGTCTTCGTCATTAGATGATGCGAGTAGATGTCCCACTTATTGAGGCGGCTGCTATCGTTGTTTTCTTCACGCATACCTCCTCTCAGTAACAGAACTTTAGTCATAGGAGAGAACTTGAGCCCAATGTAATTAGTCATCACCACTTTTTTTGTTTTGCAACAGTTTGTGAATGGGGATTTTCACGTTTTCCAGGATGCAAGGACCCCCACAACGGTATTCTTCTGAAGAATCTTATTCAGACTGAGTACTTTAGGGTCACGGTGGTGGATGACATTCCAACTATTGAAATCTGTGGAGCCCTCAAGGTGCGTGTGCTCGTTCTTCTTGTATGGTTTGAAAGGCTAGTCTGGCTGTAGATCTTGTCCTCATTTTTATGAGCTGATCTACGGAAAATTGAGCGATCCAAAGATGTCCCAACTTACCTGATCAACTTGTTCTGCTGATGTCCTAGTGTACACAGGTCTACGGATGGATGGTGAAACTTTATTCATAGCACTAAAAGACACAACTAGCATGCAGTAGGCTTCTCTTATCTGGTGCGATAAATTAGCATTGTTGAAACTGGATGACTGACGTCATGTCGTGGTATTCATTCAGTAGCAATGAAGGCGTTTTTTTCTCAGCACCTTAAATTTGAGGCACATCTCGAAAGGCACATAAAGGGGTACATATATAACGTTAATTACAAAAAAAGAAAGAAAAAACTTGCGAAAATTTTGCACATTGTGTATTATGCTCAATCAAATTGTTGCACAAAATTAAATTTTAAGAAGTTGGTGCAGGCTGAAAGGGTCTGTCATGTATCAATGCAGCGGGGCAGTGCACTAGGAAAAGTTTTCTCAAAAAGTCCTGAACAAGATTACTAATAGCCCACTGACAAAGCACCTCTATACAGAGGCTGGCCAGTAACGTAATAATTATATAAACCTGCATTCAAAACAAGCAGTTTGAGAGATTAGAAAGCGATTAGTGGGCACTGTTTACAACTTCCACAAGATAATGTAGGTCAAGTTGATTGCATGTTGTTATTGTGCTGTTAGACTTTACTGTATACAGTAGAGACTCCCTTTGAATGGAACCTGAAGGGACCTTGTAAATATGTCCCATTTATCAGGGGTTCAATTTACTGAGAGATAAACAGGGGTACAGAACACAAGTACAAAACCAATCATACGAGAGGTGGTTGTTCCATTGAAGCAGCAGTTCTGTTCAACAGGTTTCGGTTTACTGAAAGTCAACTGTAAATGTAAAGAAAAGCAGATATTGCCTTCACTGGGGTTTCAAGACGCAATTAGAAAAGCGCAATTTTGATCTTCATTGTTTTGACAATCAAGTGTACCCGCAAATTGATCTTAGTATTGTTTTTGAAGGAAGGAGGCCAGTGCAAACATTTAGAACTTGTTTTTCCCTACAGTGTCTCTTTAAAGCCGTCTTTGACGTATTCGCTGTGCAGAACATAGTTGCCGTTGGGGCCGGCTTTGTCGATGGCCTGGGATACGGCGACAACACCAAGGCGGCAGTGATTCGGCTAGGCCTGAAAGAGATGATTGCCTTTGCTGACTTCTTCTATCCGGGCGCCAAGCTGAGCACCTTCTTCGAGAGCTGTGGCATCGCCGACCTCGTCACCACCTGCTACGGCGGCCGCAACCGCAGGGTGGCCGAGGCTTTCGTCACGGCCAACAAGGTGGGTTCGTTGTTTACCCAGTCTCGACTAGATCCGCCATTGTGCTAGGTGCAGGGAATGTGTGAAGGAGCATTTTTGCATGATACGGATGTCTATGTGCTATAAAATTTTATTTTTTACTGCCGACTGAGGGCACTCTTATTGAACAAAAAGCATCCTCTAATTTCATAGTTACCACATTATCCGGTGTATATAGTGCACCTTTGTATAAGGTGCACCCTTATGTTGCACGACTTTCATTAGTAAAAATTGTATATAACACACCTCTGTATAAGACTCATCTATTTCGAACTCTGTCAACAGATAAAACACGACGCGTGCAGTTCTACAGAGCATGAAGGTCACTTTGCTCACTGCAGCGGCCATGTTTGCGAAAGAAGCGTACTGCTCTGACACAAAGGAGCTGTAGCAGTTGTTAGTTCACGCTTGCCCAAGTACTTAGATGTAGCTACCAGTTAAAGAATCCTAGGTTGTCCAAATTTTCAGAGCTCATGACCAGGATTTAAGGACATCTGCACGTAGCGTCATCTTTCACCGGCCACAGCGGTGGCTTGCCGTAACTGAATGGGAAATAGGCGAGAAAAATGATATCTGACGAAATAAGCTACTTTTCAAAAACGACTCCCAGTTCTACACTGCAGAGACTTGCTTGAACAGTTTGTCAAAATATACAGTGCCGCACAACAAACAGTGTGGCTTACAAGAGTGTTTCATAATTAACATTGAAGTCCCATATGTTTTTAAGGTCGGAGTTCGATAGTTCTAGGAAACCACACGCATCGCACTGCTATTTTAAGAAAATGTATCAATGGCTCTCTGCTACATATAGTCTGGAGTCATTTTTGATAACTACATTTTTTGCAAGAGATGCGGTTTTTCTCATCTATATCCCATTCAGTTATAGCAGGCTGCTGTTCTGCCGAGAGATGGTGCCATATTCAGATGTCCCCAATTCCTGGGAATGCTCCTGTAAACTATGGCATCTCTCATAATCATATGGTGGTATCGGCATGTCAAACCCTAGATATTGTCAGTTTGCATTCTCTCTGTATGTATACTGGTGCGCTCATTTCGTGCATCCCCCTTCATGTTTGAGCAGCGTTGAGCTAAGACAGTTGTTAGTTCCTGTTAGTCTTCTGTATCTTCTTTTGTGCAACCTTTCTGCTTGACGAGTGAGCTGGCTAGTTTCGATCTGCTTCCAGTTCTTCACGTGACATTACAACTTATTGCTATAGCACTCATTCTTTTCCGAGAGGTGAAACAATATACACTAAGCGCTCGACAACCTCTGTGAAGAGACGTTTCTCTTTAGTGTCTTACGGATTGCTATAACAGAATGATCAGCCGTGATTTTTTTTTTTTTACCCGTCAGTGCGCGGTGCTGTCATTGTTCTGTGTTTACACGTGCCTGCCACATTCATGCAAGCTAATTCCTCATGCATCAGACATTTTATAAAAGGTGAATGAGGACCTAAAGAAAATGTCAGCCTTGGCGAAGGAGCAAGGCCTTAGGTTAACATGCACGGCTTCGGGGATGCAATTTTGCGGGCACAGCCGTAAATCTCTCGAAAAGCATCTTAAATACAATCAGGATAAGAAAATAATTACATAGGACCACGGTTTGGAAGTTTTCCGGCCTTCGTTTATTGCGTCGAAATGCTTCTTAAATCACTTTTGCTGCAGTGCTTTCATGTCACGCAGAAAAGCACACGAAATTTGGAAGGGGCTACTAGGTGTCCCAGGTCAAAGACACACCTGGTTCATTAATTACACATACGTGCACAGGCCGTATATTTGCAAATGCGGGTATAATCATTGACATACAAAAAATTCACTCGCAATCGTTCTGAGCACTTTGACCTTGCTGCGGCCCTGAAAAAAAATTTTAAAATGTACGCCAGTTTTTTTTATTTTGCATGCTAATTGTACGTAGTTTCTGGTGATTTGAATTCTTGATGCTGCGAATATTTTTTATGATCCCACGAAATTAATGTCACTGACGTTTTCTGTAGTCTTCTGATTTGTCATTTGTTGCTTAGAGCTGCTTCCATAAGTATGGCATGGTAACATCCCCAATGTGCGGTTCTATAGCGATGTATTGTTCTTTCTTTTTCTTCTTTTTTTTCAGTCCATCGAGGAGCTGGAAGCAGAGCTTCTTAACGGACAGAAGCTCCAGGGACCAGAGACTGCAGAGGAAGTTTATGTCCTGCTCAAAACGAAGGACATGCTGGATAGGTAAGGAACCGACAGAGTGACATGTTTAGATTGCATTTTTTTAGATGCAAAGCACCTTATGCTGGTGGTTGTGTCTCTTGTTTCTCAGCATCAGTGTTCATGTTAGTGCCAGCGCAAGCTCTCAGTAAAGTACACCATCTACCGCTCAAGCGAACCATTTCCTGACTGCTTTGCATCCACACGTGGTTCTCTTTTGCAGGAAATGGTGTTATTCTTTATTTTTGCTTTTCAACCACTGTATAAGTGATTTTAGAACTGTGACCAATTTTCACTTGGATTGAATCTATTGTCATTAGCATATTCTCCTGAACCAATCTTAGTTGGGCGGCAAGGCTTGTAATGGTATTATCATCTTGTTATCGGCCTTCAAACAGCACTTAAGCAGGTGTATCAGTGCCTCTGTACTAGTAGTTTACAGTTTGAAAGTTGAATTTTTTTTTTTTGCTGATTTTACATTCTTCAGGCGAATGTATTTCGCAAAGTAGTTTTTTTAGACTGACCACAAAGCGGCAGAAAAGTCGTTTGTTTTGTTACATGCACATAGTTCCAGGGTTTTGCATAATCATCTGGTGAGGGGCATACGTTTCAGCAAAGAAAAAATAATTGGACATTTCAAGATCACTGCAGGTCTCTTATTCACATACCAGCGAAGCGTACATGCCTTTATATGCATAGTAACTGGTGCAATGACCTGGTGTAAGTATTGGATAGATTTCCACGCATCTGATTAAGTGTATAGGGGATCGACTGGAATAATTGTACCAAAATAAGGCAGGATGACAATGTGTTTTTTATGGCAGTCATCGAATTCCATTTATTGTTACGGCCTTTATTGAGATAATGTTCAGATTGTGTGTCGGCGGTCGCATGCGCCCCTAAGTCCAGTCATTTCGGAGTACACAAAAGGGGCCTTTTGACTGCAAAATGTATCATGCAACTGTAGTCTGCTGCGATTTTGAACATTGCTGCTGAATAATCATATTTTCAGAGAACATCTTAACTGAAACATATTGCCATTTAACTTGAACGCCCCATGTGCTCCCTTCGGCCACGTCATGACCCCATGGCAATAGTAACACATAGCTCTATTGGGTTAATTTTAGTTTTTGTAAATATGGAGCATAAGAGCAGAAAAATTGTATGAAGCAGGAATGTATCAAGGAGCTTCTGCTGTGATAGAAATTATTGGAAAAGGTGTGCTTTTTAAACATACAAGCGATCATGTGCATGTGCATCGTTGACGATCTTGAGGGTTTTTGTGGGGGACATACCGGTACATAATTAATCCTGAAAGGGTTTAACAATATTCGTTACTTGGATAGTTGGCTCATACTTATAAAATACTGGACAGCATATATTTAATGCAGGACAGAGGGAGACTGCTGGCACATTGGACAAGCACTATCATGGCTAAGCTTTATGGTCAAATGCTTCCCTCCACATCATTTTTAATGTGAAACTAAAAAGCTGCACATAATAGGTTGTGCCCTTGTCATGTGCAAAATCGAGCAAGTGACTATGGCAACTTTTTTTTTTTAATGTGAGAAACTAAGATTCTTCTGCTTTTTCAACGAGTCTCCTCCAGAGCTGTGGATGCGCGGAAAGATATTGACCCTGGGTTAAAATGCCAGTCCGGTACAGTTTTTTTTTTTGTCAGCTAGGAAACTGTCTACCAGAGAAGTTTCCTTTGTATCGTTTTGTTTCAAATCAGTGGATGACAATGTTCCTTTTTTGTGGCACTTAAACTAGGGCCAATGTGTTTCCTTTTGATCAGAGACAACAAACTTTCTCTCAGCTGCCTCTCGTATTTCCGCTGTTGCAGGTTTCCACTGTTTGTAGCCATTCACCGAATATGCAAGCACGAAATACCACCCAGTGAAATGATCCAGTGCATCAAGAACCACCCCGAACACATGTAAATACAATGGCACCCTCAACCTTTCCTCCTTTCCTATAGATCCTTCCTTCTCTTATGCTCCCTCTCTGCCACCATTCCGTTTCCTGAAAGCGTCGGGTGACATGGCCAACTAGTGATGGGCGTGCGCGGGACATGCGCTTAACAGCGTCGTATGCACCGTTCACTGGATTAGCTCTCTCGGGAGAAACCAGTCGTCTTGAGCGTCTCAGAAGAAGGCGAATATGGTTCACCCATCTAGTATCTCACAGCAGTGCTTAGCGTTACAATACTAGCATGTAGAGCTCGTGCTTCAAATAATGTCTGCAACGCTGGACACATTCTATTTCGTTGCCCATCTGGCACCGATTGGAGGTGCCAGATGGTGTTTGGTGTTTTCATGGCTACTACTCCCTGGCACAACTCGTAGGTCGCACGCAAGCTTTTCTTTGATGGACACTCAGTTGTGCTGTATAAGTGATAGTTGTAGCTCACAGCTCAGTTTTTGAACAGTTTGTGTACGCTAGGCAAGCAGCAATACTCATTTTATCAATGCAATAGGAATATCGCTGTTACCTTTTGATGGGTTTAGTTTTTAGACGTTGATGTAACTGTCAGGTTCTGCGTTTCCATGCATTGGAGAATAGTGGTGCAGCTAAGTGTAATTTTGTTGCTGTCTTCTACTGCGTTTCTTATGCACTGCTTAGTCTGTATATGTTGTACTGCTCATAAGGCAGGACTTATTTTCAAGACTTATACATACGTGATAAAGAAGAAATTTATATAACATTTGTATCGTGATGTTAACTGCCACAAAGTGCCATGTAATATACAGTTTTCTTGCCTGATTACTTGTTTTTGAACTTTCCTTCTCAATTCTTGAGCTCATTAAAAAAATTCTCTGGATGCACTGAATGCTTACTGTTCTCTTTTTTTGCTTCTGTATTCACACCACTTTTCTCTGTACTGTCCACTTTTCTTTTTTCAGCCGAATGCTTAATCTTTTAACACCAGAGTCTCTACAGCCATGGCTCTCCGGCCTGCTGTGCTGCTAACCTGCTAACCTTAGCTTGGATTGGAAGTATCTAATTTGAGATTAAATGTCTAGTGGCTAAGGTACTCGGCTGCTGACCCGCAGGTCGCGGGTTCGATTCCCGGCTGCGGCGGCTGCATTTCCGATGGAGGCGGAAATGTTGTAGGCCCGTGTACTCAGATTTGGGTGCACGTTAAAGAACCCCAAAATTTCCGGATCCCTCCACTACGGCGTCTCTCGTAATCATATGGTGGTTTTGGGACGTTAAACCCCACAAATCAATTTGAGATTAAATGTGTCCACAGGAAATTTTCGGAGAGGTGGCATGGCGGGGCTGGAAAAAAGAAAGCAGGTAGTGAATATTAAAAGCCAAAGGAAAACAATACACTGTGAAATTCACTGGACTCTCTTTAAACAGAACATGAAGAGGTCAGGACAATGCACTCAATTTGACAGGAGTTTCATTTGCTGAGCGATAATCAGAGGTACAGAATCCTAATATGAAAGGAATCCCATTCGAGGCAGGTATTCCATATATAAGAATGTTCTGTTTACCGAGAGTCTACTGTGTGAAACATGTAAGTATTTATCGTTCCTCTAAAACGTATTTGATTTTGTCGCCGTTTCTTGTCGAACACACTGTTGCAATAAATATTTTTTTTTAGGGGTGTGCAAATATAATATTTTTGAAATACTAATCCAGAAAACTGATGAAGTATGAACGAGAAAAAAAAAACATTGGCTGCAAATTGGCATCGTCACGCTAGCAACTAACTACAAGGTATGAGATGTACTAATCAACACTTACTTTGGCGATGAAGCCACAGGTTCAACACAAAGCAAGATTTATTTGAGACACAAAAGCTGCAAGCAAATAGTAGAGAGTTTTGCAATACCATACACAGAGCTTGCGAGCCGATCGTAAGCGTTCGTCACCCAGCGGGAGCCGACAAAAGGTTAGCGTACGGCGTCAACATTGGGCTGATGGCCATCTACCACGGAATCATCTGCAGTTGCCTTCTGACAAAATAAGTTTTATCATCCATCCCATTCTTATAAGTACTCTGAAAGCCCAATGTGGCTTATTGGTTAGCAGCTGCCCATGCAGTCATCGCCAGCAACAAGCAGAAAACTCGTCGACTCCAAAGTGTCTACCGGCAGCCCTGTTGCCGCTAGTTAGTGCATGATGAATCGCTTCAAATTTGAAAGCAGCTGTGTAGCTCTCGTATCGCCCCTTAATGTAACCACAGAACTGGCACAACGTACACTAGCATACCACAACGCGCACTTGCCACCTTGTCTTGGCTTAAATTAGATTGCGGCTGCGTGAGTCGATAGTACGCATAATGCTTAAAAGAATGCACCAGGCTGTCGTATGCTATCATCATCAGGGGTTAAGGAGCAGACTACATTTTGGCTGCAATTTTTCGGGGTGCGAATATTACTCTCCGAAAAAAAAAATCACATTTTTCTTGGGCAAGGGAATGGGTGGGGGTAAGAATAATATGTGAGTAAATACGGTATATATTTATGTTGAAATTGCTACCTCTTTAGCTATTCTAGCCTGTTATTGAAAAAAAAAACGGTAAAATGCCACTATTCGTATTTGCCAGGAAGTATACAACAATGCTAAGTAGTTATGCTTGTGAGTGTAATGTCTTAGGCTCAATTCACGTTTTAGAAACTTTTTTTTGTGTGTGTGGCAGCACTTTATCACAGTCAAAATGCTTTTGTACCTGTCTTAATGACTAGCGAATAGGAGCCCACTGGTTTAATTCCTTCCATAGCAGCCGCATTCCGATGAGGTGAAATGTAATAATTAACCCCTGTATACTTAAATCTAAGCTATTATTGAAGCACCCTAGGCGGCTACTATTTATCCGGGTTTCCATGCCATTGGTATTGGTGCGTACAATAAGTTTTTCTTTTTTTTTCTAATTTTCACTCCTGTTCTCACTGGTCTAGATAAGGCAATCAAGAGTACTCAAGGTGTCTTTTAACTACACAGCTATAGTCATTATCTGGCTTGCTTTCCTTCCCTTTCTTGATAACTACAGGCTCACTATGTTCCTATCACACTGACAGCTGCAGGATCATTGCTAAGAAGTACCAGGTGGCATTGATAACCTGCGAGATCGATTGATTACTAGTTGTTTGGTGATGGAAAGGCACCACAAAGAAGGCACGAGAGAGAGGCTGAATACTTTTTTTTTTGCGGAGCCACAACTTTTGGTAACTAGGGCACTATTACGCCGCATTGTGACAGACTTCGGCATACTGATGGCAGTGAACTGACGTTGGCAGCACCTTAGTAACAGAGTCACGAGGAATCGATTGCAGGCTACGCTACCGCATGAGTGCGATGCGCGTACGATGGACTCCCGGCACTGTCGGGAACGCAGCATAACTACACAGTAGAGGCTCGTTCAAACTTGAGGCAGGGTAGCCAAAGCGGCGAGATGGAAAAGTAAAAATCCGAGTAAACTCCTCTCCAGGCGGCGACAGCAGGTGGAAAACGGGGCAACAAGTCTGATCGCTCCCAGAGCTATTCTTTGCGGTCCGCCGAGACTCGCCGCTTTACTGCAGCCAGTCGGAACACCACGTAGTGGTGACTCTAATGTGCCTTTGGGAGAAGCATTTCCACGTGATAGCGACACCCCCGTAAAATCCCAAGATGCCCACCTTTTCTGTCACGCAACCAGCCAACGGAGGCAGGGGTTCTGAACAGGAGCACACACTCGCCACCTCGCCGCTTCCAAAAGCACACTTGCCTGATATATTTTGTTGGTGCAAAGGCTGTGGAACCTTTCAGCTTCAATAATCGGCGAATAATACAAGAGAAATCGCGTGTGCTGCGGACTGCAATGCTCAAACTTCATCGTGAAAGGCGTCATGAGCGTGCTCGGTTTTCTTTTCGGCTGGTAACGGAAAAAGCAACGGGTTATCAAACTGTACATCCTGAAACATGTCAACACTGTGGTTACCAGCGTGCACTTGAAATCTGCTGACTTCTTGGACAGAAGAGAATTATTTTGATTTTTCTGACCAGTACCACGACATGACAAGACATGCTGTAGCAAGCACCTCGGAATTCATTTTCACCACTTGGCGTTCTTTAAGATGCTCTTAAATTTAAGCCCATGGTTGTTCCTCTGCATTTAGCCCTATCGAAATACCACTGTCGTGGCTGGCAATTGAGCCCACCGAACACAGCAGCATGGCACTGGGCGTACTGTGCTGCCACGGTGGGTAATCCTGAATCAGACAACCGCCAAGGTCCTCTAGTTGCTAAGGCAATTGGCTGTAGACCTGCAGGCTGCAGAATTGAATCCTGGCCGCAGATTTGGGTGCACGTTAACGAACCCCATGTGGTCGAAATTGCGAAGCCCTCCACTACGGCGCCTCTCATATACCTATGGATCCTATGGTGGTTTTGTGATGTTCAACATCAACAATTACTACTATTATTATTAATGCTGAGACAAATAGTCGAGTGCTTTTGGTTTTTGTTTAATCTACAGTAACACGGTTAATACAACTATGCTTTTTCAAGGGAAAAACACTTCACAAATTTCGTTGCAATTGACACATGCGAGCAGCAAGTGGGCAAACGCTGCTGCCATTCGCGATCAAGCGCAAGCTTGTCTAGGACGCTCAAATTTTGGCAACATGATTGATATTTGTAATCTTATGCCTGCGTCGACGTACGCAAGGAGATTTCTCAACAACATCAATACGAAGAGCAAAGATGGAAGCAATTTAGCTAACCGGTCAGGCGAGGTGGCATGCAGTGCCGCATGTTTACCTGCAAAATACCCTGGAATTGTGGTTCCCGATCTCGCTCGTAGCTCCTAAGCGAACGCTGTTTTGAATAAGTTGCACACTTAGGCACGGCTTCATTGGATTAGGACTTAGTTTGCACAATGAAACAACTTTAGCCCATCTTTTTCATGCCAGCAATAACGCCACTATTGGTAAATGCCTCTGCACCCTCGGGCAAATGATCGGAGTGGTAAAGAAACAACCGATCGCACTGGCGGCTCCCCGTTACCTGTCTGGGGTGCTGTTTACCGTTGTGGATATATTCGGCCGTGCAATCGTTGGACAGAGAGGATGACAAAAAAAATCTGCCAACTTTGACGCACGCTGGATGCCTGATCTAGCAGCCCAGTATGACGGAACGTCACCAAACTGGCTGCTGCATCAGCGCAGCAGACGTCGAATTCGGCGCAAGGTCATACCACGTGTCTTGCACTTAATGCACTTGGTTATGAGCTGCTTCCTTCATGGGAATAATATTGCGGTGGAAAATTATCGAGCTGCAAGCAGCAGCGATCATGCAGTTACAACACCTCTGACGAAAGCTCCGTGAATGCAGGTGATCACCACAACAACAGCCATTTTGGTTGTGTTGAGAGGCTTCCAATAGTCACTTAAAGTTGCGAATACATAGCAGCATAGCTTCTCTAAATCATTGAATTTGGATGACGACCGTATCGGCAGCAGGCACCCTTAGATGCAAGCAAACCCTTACCAGAGCATCTTAGGTTTTTCACGAACTCACTCTGATGCACTTTATATTAATTTAAATTTCAGAGATACATTTTGTGCACCAAAAACTTTAACCTTCAGTTACTTTTAATGGTATAGCGGAGTGAAGCCCGTCCTCTGCACATAAAGAAAAAAACTTTCTGCAGGTATCTCGCAAATGAAGCTCCCTTAAATAATTTTTAGATGTTTCAAGACATGTAAAATTATAGAGGCAAAAAAAAATGAATTTTTGTATCGTTTTCGGTTAAATTTCTCTGTAAGGAAAAGGGTTATTGATCCAGAAACCTGTTTTTCTGGGCTAGTTGCAACATTCAAAATGTTAAAATAGCCCAAAACGTTAGAAACGAGCATGATGATTTATGCCTCTTCCAAATGCTGAGATAGTTTTTTCGGTTGTAAAAATGAAAATGAATAAAAGGAGGGTAACATTAAGGGCTCGTTTCTTCTTTGCTAGACACATTAACAAAAGTAGAGCGAATATTGTTTGTAATATTTACAAACAACGTATATTTGTATAAGTGTGAAGATAGTAAATGGTACAAAAAGAGCAGGCACGAACCTGCAACCTTCAAATAGTGTGTCTGATGCTCTACACACTGAGCTACGGCAGTGGTCGTCCCCCTGTTATATGGTATGTATGTGCATTTTATATGTGGAAGTGTTAGTCAGTAGCTATGGAGGTGGCTTTTCTTGGCTTTCTTGTTTGTTAGTTCTAATAAAAATTGAAATGTTTTCTTGAGGAAATAAAATTTTGGTGCCTATCACGCATTTTCAACAGTCAACTAAAATGTCTAGTGGTTGCAAAAAGCTAGATTTCTTTTTCGACGTGTCTCCTATATTCTCAGCATCTCGCCTCTTACCCCATTATCTGTGACATTGTACGTGATGGATTGATTGAATCTACGAAAGTGGCTACAGCAATGTCAACCTTTTTGCCTTTTCAGAAACCCAGACTTCGAATTACCCAGCCACTTATAGGCAGTCTGAATTGGAAGTTGTGTTCAACGGGACAGAAGAAAAAAAAACAGGGGCTTTACTTTTATTTGATATCATTCATCACTGATCATTGCATTTGCAACTTTCCAGTCATGAAGTGTGGAAGTGTCTTGAGTACTCTTTTAAATCTTGAGAAAAGCAACAAAGTAGCAAAAAAAAGTCAGTGTTGTACCTTACCTACTTTCCTGTTGTGTGCTTATGGTAGAAGTGTTGAGTGATTGTGAATGGTATATTATTGAGATAGTTATTTTGTTAGTCAGGTGCATGCAAATAGTGTTGGAAGTTTGTAGGCGTGTGGTCTGGGGAATTATTGTAATTCTGTGTTACTTGTGACCCAGTCGTTAAAGCATGTGACACATTGATGTACATTTTATTGCTGGTCAAGAATTCGTATATTTGTGCATGGTAATATTCAGTCCTGTTGTCCAATGCCAGCGACAAAAGCCCAGGTTGGAAGTCCAGACTTTTGACATTGACTGTGCAGAGCATTGGCTTCTGTCCCGAATCTGTTACTTTATTCCTGTATGTTGTGTTATGCAGATAGTTAGTCACATACATGTTGAACAACAGATTTTTCACCCAGGTGCTATTGGCTATGATCTTGCAAGCTGCAGGTAATGAATAAATTTCGATTGAAGTTGTTTACTAATACTTCGTGTACTTATCTCTTGTATTTTCGAGTAGTGTTTTTAGGGAGAATCTTCGTTTAATGACATTTGTACTCTTTTAGGGGAATACACTTGTGTTTTCATAATCAATGTTGTTGTAATAACTAAAGCAAAGCATGATTTTTTTATGTAACAGGGCATGCTGTCTTCAGTTGTATAATGTGCCATGCTGGTCACGCGTTTAAACACTGAGCTACAACATTCAGTTACAACACACGTCGCCATTTAGGTGTTTTTCTTTACTGCTTTTCAGAGTTTACTTTTTGAAATGTGCATGAGGTATATTTCTTGGTGCTTCGTCTACTGGTCGTCCGCAAATCGCCGATTTGCGTCCAGCGGACATCCGCAGGACTCTAAGGCGCATACTAGTTGGCGATCCAGCGGGAGTCATGTGGGTGTCCAGGGCGGGTAATTTTCAAAAGAAGAGGCTTGTTACACCCTGGCAAAATCATCCAGGAGCCGAATAAAAGAAATGGCACCCTTTCTTTACTGCTTTTCAGAGTTTACTCTTTGAAATGTGCATGAGGTATATTTCTTGGTGCTGTCAGTGTACTTGATTGTATAGCTTTAGGGTACCCTTGATCTTGCATTCACTTTAGTGAACAGGGGGTATTCTTAAATATTGAACAGGTTTGTCAATGACTGTGCTGTGAAAACAATGCTATTTCTGAAATCTGATATGTATGCAAATGTGTTTCCCTACACATGCTGCACATTTTCTGCGTGTGCCACCATCTCACAGTCATCAATTTTTGTGCCATATGTGGATCAAATAATATGATTTTCTGATTAAGCAAGTAATGTTTTGTGTAGTTAAAAATAGCCATTCATGATCATTAGGGAGTCATTCCGTATAAATGAGCCAAGTTTGTTTCAAAATTCTGTCTCCACTTTTTCTAGTTGTACTTTGTGTTAAAGTGAACAAAGTTGTGTAGCAGTACTGGTACATGAAGCCTGTTTGTTGTTACGTGTTAGAAATTTGAAACAGTGAGGAATCAATGCCTAATCTGATCCTAAAGAATGATGTAGAGCTAAATAACAAATAATTAAAATTATAGTGAAAACAATAGCATGATTCTGTTCTTTGTTTATATATTGATTAAATTTTAAATGACATATGACACTATGCAATATAACAAAGGTAAACTTGAAAGGCACCCCTGTAATCAAAGCAACAATTGTGCATTAGCATGCCCAGCTTTTTAACCATTTCTTGGTCAAAGGAATGGGTAATTGCATTGAGCCCCAAGTAAGTCCGGGCCGTTCATCATTTATCGAATAGCCATGCAGGCAACGTTTGTGAGCATATGCGTGTGCTGCTATTTGCGTTTTTTTGCTTTATTGTTGTTTTTCTGTGGCAAGTAGTGTGTACCTTGAAAGCTAATTAATTCAACACTCATTGATTTCGAAATTTGGATCGTTCAGATCTCTTCTCTGATACTGGCCAGCATATGCATTGTTCAGTGGCATCGCTCATTAATTTTGTTGCATTTGGTCGCAATTCATTAAATTCCGATGATCCTTAAAGCACGCTGAGCGCCGCGTATGTGCAATGCGAAGGAATGACGACAGCGTTCATGGACAGCCGAAACGGCGATGCGCTTTTGGCCCGAAACATTTTTAGGCCGGGGTCCACCACGGCTTCGCTGACGTATTTTCGTCATGAATATGTTGTTGTAAAATATATACTAACAGATTGAAAAAAGAAAACCGCAGTGTGCGGGGAGCACCCACTGGGCAACAAAACGCATGTTGTCCAGCTTCCTAATGGCAAGTCATTTGCACCATGTACCATAGACAGTCCTCAGAGCTCAGCAATTTCAGCGCATACGTTTTCTGCAGATTAATTTTAAGACTTGCCTTTCTGTCTCCTTGTCTAATTCAGTAATCGTGAATGGCAATTCGTCTCCTAATATGCAATGCCATCGGCGAAACACGGGTTACTAAGGTACTCTCTATTAACTCTTATTCCTAACTCTTCCCATTCTAGCCCTCTGAAATCCTCCTGTAAGCACGCGGTAAATAGCATTGGGGAGATCGTATCTCCTTGTCTTACACCCTTCTTTATGGTACATTGCTGCTTTCTTATGGAGCATATGGTGTCAGTTGATCCTCTGTAGATTTCTTCCAGGATGCTTATAAATGCTTCGTGGACACTTCGATTCCGCTGTGTCTGCATGATTCGTATAAGTTACTAAAAAAAACAAAAACAAGCACGAAGCATCACACATCAATAGAGCAATGAAATCAAACTACGAATATCTGCAGCTGTGCTGAGCAGCAAGGCAGTTGCTGACTACATTGCGTGCACTCTGGAAAATGCGTCCAGTTTGCTTCCTTGCCTCACTATCCTCCCTAAACTCTCAGCGGCACTCGTTGACAATCGTTACTTGACAAAGTCGTTAATCACAAACTTGGTCAGACTGCACGCTGTCAGCAAACAACAGAGAAGAGCTACCACACACTAACCTGTCCACACTCTCGGTGAGGATTTGGTGGTTTACTTGTGCGGGCATTTTCACTAGAACCACAGTTTTTAAATCTTATGCGTGGATGATGTCCTAGTTGAAATCAAGAAGAGGAAATGGACATGGGCTGGGCATGTAGCGCGTAGACAGGATAACCGCTGGTCATTAAGGGTAACTAACTGGATTCCCAGAGAAGGCAAGCGGGTTAGGGGGAGACAGAAGGTTAGGTGGGCAGATGAGATTAAGAAGTTTGGTGGTATAAATTGGCAGCAGCAAGCACGGGACCAGGTTAACTGGCGGAACATGGGAGAGGCCTTTGTCCTGCAGTGGGCGTAGTCAGGCTGATGATGATGATGATGATGTCCTAGTATCAACTACTCTTGTATCAACTGCTTGAATCATCATCGACATCACCAGCTCATGTGAAAGCCATACCTCTCATTACGATGCCATTTTAGATGTGTTCGTTTTTAGACCTTCTGTCACTGTTCTGGTACTTGGCACACCTAGAAACTATATCGCATGTGCCATCGTACCCCCAAACAAGGTTATGTAATAGTGAAGGCTTGTGAATTCATCTGCTGTGGCAGCCATTTCTCGGCTCGACTGCTGCGAACTGTCTACCAGACAGGCGAGCAAGCAGGACAGGGCAGCTATAGTGCAAGACATCTCTCCATAATGGGCAGATTTGAGGAGAGGCATAGCCTTCTGTTCAGGCGTGGCCTTGTGTATTGTGGTATAGCGAGCGATAAGAAAGAAAAGGGAGGATCAGGAGGCGGGGAGAGCGTATAGGTATAGAATAGCAGAGGCGATTCGATTTTGTCGGTGAAGCTTCCCCTAAGCTCTGGTACACCGGCTTTTTCAAGTGATCTTTGTATCGTTCTTTTTAATCCTCGTTACCTTATCCCCAGTGGAAACTAGCAAACCGAACGCTCGTCTGGTTAACGTCCCTGCGTTTCCTTGCCTTGCTTTCCCCCCCACTCTCTATCGGCCTCTTCAATTGTCAGTCTTGTCTTGTCGCCTAGATCTTGGCTCATACCCACAACGGGGATTGACCACACTGTACCTTATAAAAATTTTTACACAACGCTTGATAAAAAAAATTAGCAGATCCCACGTACAGTGGGAATTCATGGTATGCGAAGCATGAATGAGAAATGATATGCCACTTTCAAATCGCCACAACATTACGAGGTAGAGGTAAATTATGCCGTACACGACTTCCGTGTCATGATTATCATGTTTGGGTGTGTCGTTTACCTTCGTCATCTATTCACGTCGCGTGATGCCAAATTTAGTATATGTGGAGCTAGCGAAGCGGCCGCGAGCACGCTATGAGCGTGGTATGTTGTCATGTTCTTACATGGCACACGTCTCATGATTATCATGCTCGCACCAGTCATCTTCCTTGCTCATTCATTAACGTCACGTAACACCAAATTCGGTATATGTTGAGCTAGTGAAACGGCCTGGAGTGCATCGTGTAGGGCCCAACATACTCCAACGTAGGGTTGACGCGCGCACGCTGGGCACAGCGACGCTACGTTAGCAAAACATGAGCACTCTATAGTCTGACGCCACGCGCGACCGGCGCGACCCGACGGCAACCGGTGCGAAATGAGACATGCTGCATTTGGCGCCAATGCGTTACCCAGGCAGCACTTCGTCTACTTCTCTTCGAGACGGAGGGATGCCGGACGCACTCAAACGCGCACGCGTCAAAGCATCGCAGCGCGTGCCTGCGAGTATATGGCAGGACCGGCGCCTGCCGTGGCAACGCTGGTGTGACGCGACGAAATGAACGCCTGCGAGCACGCGTGCCGGGTCACGTCGAAGTGTATTGGCACCTTGACTGTGGCATGTTCTCACATAACACGCATCTCATGAATATCATGTTTTAACCAGTCATATACCTTCGTCATCCATTGACGTTACGTAATATTAAATTTGGCATACGTGAAGCTAGCGAAACAGCCGCGAGCGCATCATGAGTGTGGCATGTAGCCATGTTACATGACACGCATGTCGTGATTATCATGTTTGGGTGTGTCATTTACCTATGTCGTCCATTCGCGTCACGTAATACCGAATTTGGTATATGTGAAGCTAGCGAAACGGTCGCGAGCGCATCATGAGCGTAGCATGTAGTCATGTCTTTACATGACACGCATCTCATATTTATCATGTTTGCACCAGTATCATACCTTCGTCATCCATTCACGTCCCGTAATACCAAATTTGGTATAAGTGGAGCTAGCGAAACGCCCGTGAAAGCATGATGAGCGTGGCATGTAGTCATGTTACATGACACGCATGTCATGATTTTCATGTTATTGTCTGTCGCTTGAGAGTTAGCCATGCAATCATATCATACCATAGCAGTTATGCAACATGTCATAACGAAACCACCGCAACAGCAGCAAAACCATAAAACGTAAATCATGACATTCATGTAATACATGTCATGATTTTCATGTTATGACTAGTCAAATATGTTCGTCATATAGTCATGTTATGCCATACTAAGTTTGGTTTCGATACCATTATCCAAACAGCCAGGAGAGCTAAAAGTCGTAGGTAAACAGACAGACAGACAGACAGACAGACAGACAGACAGACAGACAGACAGATAGATAGATAGATAGATAGATAGATAGATAGATAGATAGATAGATAGATAGATAGATAGATAGATAGATAGATAGATAGATAGATAGATAGATAGATAGATAGATAGATAGATAGATACGCTCCAAGTCGCCGATGTTCGCTAAGAAATGCTTCGCATTTAAAAGAGAGAAATTAGGTAAGAACAGTCGCTTCAATCCACGCATATACTTTGTGAAGAAGAAAACGCATCGTAGGCAAGCAGCATCGCCAACGCTTGGGTACTGGGTTCTTGGCTCGTGCTGATCGTCGCCAGCATCTGCCTGATCACTGCTCTGTTCCGATTGTGTTTTAATCGTAGAGCCGCCGTCGCAACACACGTCAATAAACCGCTTTTCAACTTTTTTTTTTTTCTCTCTGTCGGCTCCATGTTCTTCACTGTCGGCTCCATGTCGGTGGTGGTAGGTGGTGGTAAAAAACATTTATTTCAGAAAAAGTCTACTAGAGAGTGCCGACGTGGCCCATCGGCGTGCTAGAGTGGCAAGACCCTATTCCGGGACGCCAGTGGAGCTGGAAGCTGCCCGCGCGCGCTCCACCAAGGAGCGTTGTGCAGCCAAGGTAGAGCAGCCGAGCAGGTGCTCCTCCCAAGCCTCTCTAGTTGGGATAGGAAAAGGGGATGAGAAAGGGACGGGATTAACTGGACACGATGCTACGACGTGATATGTGTCGGCGAGGACATGACAGGTCGAGCAGGTGCCATTGATTTCCGGCAAAAAGTGCCTGGCGACCGCCGGACTGATAAAGGTGTTCGTCTGCAGGCGGCGTAGCAGTCGTTCGTCCGCTTTCTCCAAACCGCGTGCGGGGTCCGGGTAGAGGCGGCGCGAAGCCCGGTAATAAGCCAAAATTTCGCGAAAGCGCGTCAGGTTGGTATTGCCAGATTCCGTCTCGGGACATGGAGGGGCAACGGCCCGGACAGGAGAAGCGCGGGCAGCGG